CTTATTACTTAGATGGGTATATATTTTGGTATTTTTTATGCTTTCTGAATGCCTCCAGGCAGATGTGATCAGGAAATGAGCTTCCCTTTTCACTTTTCTTCCTGAGAAGTTTCAAGATACCACTGTTGGTCGTTTTGACGTAACTTAGGATTTAATTTTCGACTTGTGTCCTCTTTTGTCTCCTTGTCCCACTCCACAATCTCCGTTCAGTCCTTTTTTCTAGTTGGAAACAGTTCAGTGCCGGCTGTGGCCGTTTGGTTTTAATTGGAAACTGTCTCTTTAAATTTCGGGGAGATCTGTGTGCTTGCATAGTTGAACCCTCCGAGGGTGGGGCTGGGGTGTCCACTAGCTCAGGCACCCCTGTAGTCACCTGAATGGAGGTGCGCAGATAGCAAGGGACCAATGAACAGATACTCAAAGAAAAGAATGTCCACACCTTTATGTCAGCGGTTCTTCCAGGCATCTGTGGCCTCTCCGATCCTTCTGCCACGTGATCTCACCCAAGATGGCGGCTCCTGGAGCAGCCGAGCGTCCCGGACTAGAAAGCAATAGATTTCTAGTTTCTGCCACAAATTCCCCCAGCTGTAAGCCTTCCAACCTTATAAATATTCCTTTACATGTGGTTCAGAGTTCTGGGACCAGCCTCTGAGCCTGCTTGGTCAGGTATTCTGTATTGTTGGCGGAGCTCCTTTTCTGCACTTCCACCTGATCCGCCATCTTGTTTGTTCCTCCTAAATTTTTTTTTTTAATGTTGTGTTTCAAGTGAAGGTTTACACAGAGTTTTAGGTTCTCATTTCACAGTTACTACACAAATTGTTCATTGATGATGGTTACATTCTTTACAAAGTGTGAACATTCTTAATACTTCTTTTCTGGTGATTTCATTTCTATTCATCTTGTTTCCTAGCGTCTTTTCATTCTCATCTTAGTTTTAAAGTAATTGTTGACCATTTGGTCTCATAGAGATGACTTTTTAGAGGCACACAGTACTCACTGGGAATATTCTTTGTTTTATGAGCTACCATTTGGAGTCCTGATGTGGCGCTGTATGATAAGCACTCAACTGCAAGGTCTTTTTGAGCTGCAAGGTCAGCGGTTCAATCCTTGGAAACCTTTTACAGGGCTATTATAAGTCAGAACTGTCTCGACAGCACTTAACAACGACAACAACAAAATATTATTTAGCTAAAAGGTGACCTTGGGCAGTTTTGTTTTAAGGTTTAAAGAGAATTTCTGGGCCTCAGTCTTGAGAAATCCTCTAACATCAGTGAGTCCCGTAAGTCTGCTTCATTGTTTGTAACTTTGCCGGTAGGTTCCACTTCTTTCTCCCATTCTGTCCTGGACTGTGCCTTCTGTCTATGCTTTTATTAAAACATAATCTTGGTGGTGGTGGCTATGTGTCGTGAAATGGATTCCGACTTATAGTGACCTGCATAGGATTTCCAAGACTGTAAATCTTTACCGGAGCAGAAAGCCTCATCTTTCTCCTGCAGAACCACTGGTTGTTTCCATCTGCTGACCATGAGAATGGCAGCCTGACTTGAAACCACTACGCTACTTAGGCTTGAACTTAGTATCTCACCTATTCACTGGAACATTCCAAAGTCTTTGGATAAAGACATTGAGATTGGGAATGGTGTCTCAGAATTCTGACAGGGTATTATAGCAGTTTTTCCTGTAAAAGAGTTTGTCTGCTTGTCTGGTTTAAATATCTGGTGACCCTAGTGACAGACCTCGATTTATTAAGTTGGACAATTCTGTAAGCAACTTTGGGGCTCAAGGCCTAGTAGAGAATTAAGAGACATTGTCCTTGTGTCTGAGCAGTATGAAGTCAGGTTCATCCCAGAAAGCTATAAGCTGGCATATTTGGGAAACTATAATTCAAAATTCAAAACGCTTGATGTGAAAGCAACTTGGAAGGAGACAGAAAAGGAAGGCAGGGTTTGGCATAGCATTGTCAGGGCACGAGGAAATGATGGGCCCGTTTTCAGTTTTGCTTTGCATGAATTTCTCTATGTGGGCACTGTTGGCTTTGTTTTTTGCAGTGGTCAAAATGAATTCATGGGCATCCAGCTACTACCATTCTTGTTTGCTCCCCAAAGGGACCAAGAGAAGGTGTTTATGAGAGGATTGGAGTCAGAGATATGGTCTGCCGGTGGGAAGACTTAGAATTATGAGGTCTATTATATGTTTTCTTGATTCAAGGGAATTCAGGTCCACCCAGGCAACCAAAAACAGGGTGTTGAGGGGCAATGACAATTAAAATTGCATTGACAATTCATTCAGTGTCCCCCTCAATGAGTGAGTGGGCATGAAGTGGCTTTTCTGTAGTTGGACTCAGCACCTCTCATTGTGTGGACAACTTGGACCCTAGATTGTTAGTTCCTAACTCCGCCTGCTTTCCAGCCACTGAGACGGTGATCAGCACAAGTTCTGGTGGAGATTCCCATCTCCACTGCAACTTCAGAATGGTCTCTTCCTCTTCAATGGGGTGCCTTTCTGAGGGATTCCCCAGAATAGCTTTGATTACATGAATTTCTTGACTACATTTGACATGCAACCCTTTATAAAATGCAGTTCCACGTGAAGTACAGGACTGAGTTTTCGGATAGCCATTGCTATCCCTCTACTTTCTTTTCTTTCTCTTTCTCGCAAATGATTTCTTAAGGTGAAATTTGCATAACTTAAAATTAACAGTTTTAACGTGAACAATCCAGTGGCATTAGTGGCATTCACCATGTGGTACAACCAACCAGTCACCTATCTTTAGTTCCAACACAGGTCCAGCATACTAAAGGATAGCCCTTGTAGCCAGTCAGCAGTGTCTCCCAGGTCCCCATCCTTTCTGGTTTGTGCACTTAAAGTGTTAATAAATGCTCTGCTACTGTTCAACTCTGCCATCCATTTAGCCTGTCCTTCACTGAGGATCACAATTGGGAGACAGGACTTGGAAAAAGATAGCAGCCAATCTGTGTAGATATAGGGCATGCTAGCCCTGCAGAGACACCGTTTGATTCGTTTTCATTTAGCAGTACCAGATGCCAAGGTGAGGAAGGCATCATTAGTGCTGATAGAATCCCAGGGAGCTTAGCCTATCCTGTGGACTACAGCTGCGCTGAACCCCTGCAGTCAGGATGGAATGGTTTGGGATCAGCTCCGAGCTTGATGGAGATGGGAATCATGTTGCATACATCACTTGATAAACTGGTCTAAAGGCTCAGAAGTATGTGACTAAGTAAGCACTGCCCTGTCTCAATCAGAGAGGGAGGGAGAAGACATGCATGAGTTCTCTGTTTCCTGTTTCCTTTGTCTACGGGATTCAAATCATAGCTACCATGGAAACCGTACTTTGGAATTTCTGGAGCCCTTAATTTTAACTTCACATTAGACAACAACAACAACAACATTTTTTTTGCTTATTTTTTAATTTATGATGGAAGTTAAAAAAATGACTAAATGTCTTTACAGAAGATGTAAGAACATTTCTCTCTCTTTATTTCTGCTTTCACACAAACATGCACGTGTTTGAAGCGCTGTATTTACCTGGGAGTAACTCTTCCCTCTTTTGCAGATTCCAACATCATAACTGAGTTACAGGATCTCCAGCCTTCTGCAAAGGACTTTGAAGTCAGAAGTCTTGTAGGCTGTGGTCACTTTGCTGATGTGCAGGTGGTCAGAGAGAAAGCTACTGGGAACATCTATGCCATGAAAGTGATGAAGAAGAAGACCCTGAGGGCCCAGGAGCAGGTATGAGTCTTGGTACAGCTTGCCCTCATGTTCCAGAATGTTCGTAGCAGAAGCAATAGTCCACTGGTTTGTGTCTGAGATCAGTGAGTGGGCTTCATTCTGTGACAATTACTGATGATTAATGATGGTTACATGGGGAGAAAGTCTCTTGTGTGCTCTACTCTTTTTGAACTGATAGTAGTTGAGTTTGAAGCTTCCAAGTTCCCCTTGATGTCTTTTTCATGTTTCCATAGTTGTGTATTATTTGAGAAGCACCCTGGCATTTTAACTAATGAATTTAAGATGATCTTTCGTGACTGTCAGTTGGGGATTCAGGGATATGTGGATGGTAGGATGAGCCAGACACTGTTTGCCTTGGTACATACTTTATATGTTTGTGTTGTGGATATGCGTATTTGATGTTAAAACAAGCCTTTCTGGAGGTTAAATATAATTGTTTGTTTCATGCCTGGGGAGTGGCGTGTTTGAGAGCTGGTGAGTAGTCATCTTTTTGGTCGTGGTATTTTTATTCCTTTTAAACAAGGCTGTTGTTTCCAGAGAGACAGCCTTCAGCCTTGAAGCCCAGAGAATAATTTATTAGTTAGAGACATTCGAGTGCACATGATGGGCCTGGTGATGTTGCTGGCTCCGTGGGAAGCCTTCACAGGTTGCTGAAGATCCATGGCCCTCACACTTGGGGTTTAAAAGGATCTGGGAAAGTGGGGGATAAATGCAGAAACAAGCATATCTTACCAGCTAATGAATGCATCGCTGAAATTGGAGTGTGGAGAGAGCTGTGACTGCCCAGGGTTCTTGTGAGCCAAGGACTGTTAGGAAGGAGCTACAGAGCCAAGTGAGGAATAGGTTGTGGGCAGAGAAAAGGGGAGATTGTGCCTAGTGCAAATGGGACTTGTGCTCGGTTCCCAAGATTTGACTAAAAGTACCATGCGGATATGGATGCTGTTTCCCTTTTGGTGGTTTAGGACAAATAGGCTGCGGACTCGAGGATATATGGGTGATGTGTCTTGAGTCCCAAAGACCACTCCCAGCTCTAAGGATTCCCCAGAAGAGCTCTCGAGGCTCAGCATGGAGTCAGGCTCACAGCTGTGGTTTATTACAGCAAAAAGATACTAAGCACAATTAGCAAAAGAAAAAGGTGTGTGGGCGAAGTCTGGCGGAAATAGGTGCCAGTTTCCAAGTCTTCCCCAGTGGAGTCTCACACACAACATAACACATCACCTCTGCCATCAAGTCACCTCGACTCGGCCACCCTGAGGACAGAGCGGAAGTGCTCTATAGGGTTTCTGAGACTGCAAGCCAGTGTGAGAGCAGGCAGTCTCATCTTTCTCCTGCAGATTGCCTGGTGGGTTTGAACCTCTGACCTTGTGGTTGCGCCTAATACTTAACCCATAGAGCCACCAGGGCTTCTTTTGAAATTGCATAATGAAATCCAATCTACAGCCATCAAGTTGACTCTGCCTCCATAGTGACCCTATGTAGGATTTCCGACACTAACTCTTTACGGGAGAAGATGGCCTCATCTTCTGTGGAGTGGCCTTGTGGTTAGCAGCCTGATGTCTAACCCACTTCACTGGTCAGAGTCTGAGAATGATGTGACCTGTGTTGAGGAATGAACTGTGAGCAACGTCACAGAAAGGAAAAATGACAGGACATTGTAAGAATTTGGGAGTTGAGAAGTAAGAGCCATGACACAGTAGATATGTGCACACTGATGTTCATCACAGTATTAGTCACAATAGTTGGAAGACGGAGACTAAATGCTCATCAGCAGAAGAGCGGGCAAGTCAACTGTGATATGTACACATAATGAAATCTATGCAACATTGAAGAATAACGACGAATCACAAATACCTTCTAACATAGTCACAAAAGGACAAATATTGTATGAGAACACTGTTGTAAAACTTCAAGAAAAGATCTTTATGCTAAAAGGAACAATCTTTGGTAGTTCCCAGGCGTGGGAAGAAAGGAAGACTAATTTACTGGCTAGAGGGTAGACCTGTATTAACTGGGTTGACAGGGAGTGCAATATACAAGAAGGAATTCGGCAGAACAGTGATAAAGACAGGTGTAGACACAGGGAGGAATGCAAGAATTATAGAAAATAGAGGCAAATACTGTTATATTCACAACCCTGCAACAACTGTCTTCTACAGGTCGGGAGGGGAGTGGGAATATACCCACAGATATATGAGCTCAGTTTGTAAGAGCATATTTGTCCATGAGTTTTCAGCTTTGCTGCAAACTCACCTTTGAATGTGGTGGTGATAGTGGTGATGGTTAGGTGCCGTGGAGTTGGTTCCAACTCATAGCGACCTTGTATAGGGTTTCCAAGGCTGTAAGTCTTTATGGGAGCAGAAAGCCTCAGCTTTCTCTCGTGTAATGGCTGGTAGTTTCAAACTGCTGACCTTGAGGTTAGCAACCCAACTTGTACTCACTGTGCTACCAGAGCTCCTGGTTGTTGTTGTTGTTAGGTGCCATCGAGTTGGTACCGACTCATAGCGACCCTATGAGGAAATCATTGGACAGTCTATTTGATATCCTATGCAAGTAAAGTTTTACTAAAAGTAGTGAAGAGCTCCTGGGAGAGCACTGTTATTGTTATTATGTGCTGTTGAGTTGGTTCCAACTCATAGTGACCCTGTATAGGGTTTCTAAGAAAACCTCACCTTTTTCCTGAGGAGCAGCTGGTAGGTTCGAACTGCCCAGCCTTTTGGTTTGCAGTCCAGTGCTCATCACACAGAGCCATCATGCTTTGGGGACACAATGATGAAAACTTGTTAGGCATTACCAAATACTTTGAAACAGCAAGTTGCTTGGCATGGTTTTAGGACCATAGTCTTGGGGGACACCGTGGTTAGTTGGCGTAACATAATCCACAAAGACAATGTTCTACATCCTACTTTGGTGAGTTGACGTTGAGATCTTAAACACCCTGAGTGTACATCTCAGTTCCAACTATTAATTTATTCATGTGCAGAAGAAAGAAGCGTGGTGAAAACTGAAGATGTACATCTAAGGTCCAACTATTGATTTATTCATGTGCAGAAGAAAGAAGTGTGGTGAAAACTGAAGATGCTTGGAGTCAATTAATCCAGTGGACTACTGGAACATGTGAACATCAGTCTTCATAACTCTGAGACCAGCAGAATTGGATGGTGCCTGATTACCACTATCAACAGCTCTGAAAGGTTTAGAAGTTATCCCGGATAGAGTGGAAAACAATGTGGAACAAAACTCAAAATCATAAAAAAGGCCAGGCTTATTGGTCAGAAAGAGACTGGAGGAACTCGAGACTGTGGTCCACTGTCCCCTTCAGATATGGACCAGAACAAACCCTTGTGCCCTAGTTTCCAACCAAGTGGTCGATAGATAGGTAATGGGGCCAACAACACTAGTAAGGTCTGCTCACCATGGAAGGGTCAGCCATGCACAATCAAAAGGGCAGCATTGACGTGAGGACAAAGTGTAAAAGGGTTGGAAAGGTGGGTGGAATGGAAATAGGAAATACAGGGAGGAAGCTGGTTAATGGCTGTTGCATGGAGGGGATTGTAATCATTGTGATGAAACAAAGTGTATGATTTGTTGAATGTAAAACTGATGATATGCTATGTAAACCTTTACTCAATTCATAAACAGTAAAAAAAAAATTTTTTTTGAACAGAGGAGTGAAAGATACTCAGATATTATTGGTTGAATGAAAGGAAGGTTTATGTATGATTATGTATTTAAATTTGGAAAGAATAAAAAATTTTTAGAAAAGTTTTAAGTCCAGTATAAAGAACTTTTTTCCTGAACCAGTCAAAAATAAGACGTCGCATACTTTTTGTTTGTTTGTGTTTTTTGTTTTTTTTTTTAAAGTTTTTGTTGTGAATTGAGTGAAAGTTTTACAGGGTAGATCATCAGTTTTACGTTCAACAAATCATACACCTTGTTGCATTACAATGATTATAATCCCCTCCATGTACCATCAATTAACATTTCTCTGTATTAATTTTAGCTCTTTTTTTTTTTAAGCACTCAGGCATATAAAATAATTTAAAACACCAAAGGGCACATTCTGCAAGTATCCCTCTCTTAGTGCCTCTCTTTCCATAGATCTAGAGTCCTCAGGTGCTCCCTCTCTCCATGTCCCTATCTCTGCCTCCATCTCTAGTATTGCTGCTTCTCTGGATAAGGTCCCACATTCCGCATGTGCTCTGTTCCCTTGATGGTCCTAGGATCCTCTGTTCCTGGACTGTAGATTAACTAATCCCCCATTTTTGTTAGAAAACTTCTACCTTTATAATTGTGACAGTTGCAGTTATTCATGATAACAATTACTCACTATTGAATCATGAGAATCTTATCCCCATCTCTTTTCACCAGATCATCTAGACAAGATGAAAACTATTCAGTGGGGACTCTTACCTTTCCCACACTCTTTTTTTTGTCCTCAAAGTTTTATTGTGAATTGAGTGATAGTTTACATGGGAGAACATCAGCTTTACATTTATCCTATCATATTTCATTTCATTGCAATGATTTCAGTCCCCTTCATGCATCATCACTCAACATCATTTGCTTCCATTCCCTCTGTTTTTTGGTGTGTTTTTTTATGTACACCTAAGCACTCAGGAATATATAACCATTCAAACAACCAAAGGGTACATACACCCTGTAAGCCTGTCCCTGGCCGCCAGCACACAGCCCCTCTCCTTCCCCAGGGTCCCCAGCCGCTCCATCTCTCCACATCATCATCTCTGCCTCCATCTCTGGCGCCACTGCTTCTCTGGATAGGGTCCCCGCACTCCGTTCTTCTCCCTTAATGGTCCCAGGGTCCTCCACTCCTGGACTGCAAGATCAACCACACTCCTCCTTTTGTTACAAAATGTCTGCCTTTACATTTGCAACGTTCCCAATCAGTCCTGATAGCAATTATTCACTATTGAAACACAAGAGTCTTATCCCCATCTTCTTTCACCAGCCCCATCCAGAGAGGTGGAAACCACTCAGTGGAGATTCTACCTTCCCCCGCACCCTCTGAAACTAGGTTCCCTCTTGAAACCTTGTAAACCAGTCACTTTGTACCTTTGTAGCGCCTCCCCCTCCCCATTTTGGGTAGCCAGTGTCTAAGTTGCCCATCCCTGTCAACCTGTGTACCAAGGGGGTAGGAATGATCCTCTCTGTAAAGACTAGTAAGTATAGGTTAAGTTCATCAAATTGTAGTGGATTACTCTTTTTTTCCTTTTCTTCCTCTAGTCGAGTTCTGATCATCCAGCCATTGAAGCCAGGTCAAATGGGTACTATCTGCAAGTCTGGGTGTTCTTGTGCCTCTGCCCTCACTTCACGTCAGCTGACGCTTCACTCTCCGCTCTAGTGCTCTGGGTGTCCCATTACTTTTGAATATTTTCCTTCAACAAGGATATTCTCTCACAGGGCCATAATATAACCATCAGAATCAGGAAATTAACAGTGTTACATTAAACCCAAAAACCCAAATCCGTTGTCATCTAATTGACCCTGTAGGGCAGGGTAGATCTGTCCCATAGAGCTTCCAAGGATCTAATTTTTGTGGGACCAGACTGCAACATTTTTTCTCCCATGGTTTAAACCGTCAACCTTTCAGTTGGCAGCCACCTACTTAATCAATGTGTCATTCATTGTGTAATCCTCAGACCCCATTCAAGTTTCACCAATTGTGTCAATATTTTTAAAATAGACTCTATTTTTTCATTCTTTTTTAGTTTTTATTGTGAATTGAATGATAGTTTACATGGGAGAACATCAGTTTTACATTCATTGTTTAATTGCAATGATTTCAATCCCCTCCATGCATCATCATTCAAAAGTGTTTGCTTCTATTCCCTCTGTTATTTCTTATTTTGGGGATGTACACCAAAACACTCAGGAATATATAAT